ACATTTGAGGACCTCTACAGCCACATCCTGAGCAGAGTAGCGGAAGAAACTGTTGCATGAAATTTTAGGGCAATCATTAAGATATGCTTCTTCAAAAGTGAAAATTGGAGGAAATTTCTCAAAGTACCTCAATGGATCTTAAAATGAGGCAGATTATGTGCAGTACAATTTTCCCTAGTTTTGACTCTTCAGTGTATATGACTGTACTATAAGCTTCTATTAGTACAAAATTACCTTCGAGGACTAAAAATTCAATGACAATATAGAAATACATATGCAGATTTGTTTTACTCTTGTAGGTTGAAACGTAGTTAAAGATCAATATAAGCACTCTGAATAGAGTCTTTCTTCAGTAAAACAGCAATGTCAGCACAGGCAGCAAACTACAGCAGAAACTGAGTGCAAAGTTCAAAAATCATTTCCTAAGAGCATCGAGTACTTAAAATGTAGTATGGCTAGGTTAATGTTTACTTTCACTTTATTTCACTTAACGTTGGGTTATCAAGTATATGTCAGATAGCTTTCCCTGGATCTGCTAGAGATTATCGGAAATTTTAATTTATTGAAGGAGTTTCATATCTAGAGATCGTGTGTAAAACAACTGGAAGAGCATCTTCTCCTGCCATCATCTACACTATAAGGTTGTTAAAATAATTTTTAATAGTATGTGTACAAATGTTTCAAACTTATGAAGATTAAAAATCTGTACTACTATTTATAATTGACTGCTATTCATTGAATTTTAACAAAAAATTAGGACATAATAGATCCTTCAGAAATACTTCATATATCACGGAAGCTTGAGTATAATCTAGTGTACAAACCTTTTATTTTATATGGGGAATTCAGAAGTTAGAGAGAAGTAACTTGGCCAAGGCCACATTCAATAAATTACTAAGAGGTCTGAAAAGCCAGGGCTGTTCATTCAATTAATGCAGTGTGTTTACCACTATAGCTAGCATTTTGATTAGTCAAAATTACACAAGCAATATAAATTTTTATTCTCCCCTGGCCCAAATTCTTCTATAGTGAAAACAGAAAGTGAGATATGGGTCAATTCTGGGGCCCAGATTAGAATTTATAATGTCCATGTAGCACACTTCCACAGAAAAAGCCCTTTGGTAAAAGATTCTAACTCACTGTCACTAGTTCTTCCTTATGTACTTACCTTTCTGGATATAAATGGAAAATACTCATCTCAAGGGAGGAATCTCAACTGTAATGACATTCATCTTCTCTTAACTCTAAGCGCAGGACATGTGAAAAATGGTAACAGTCAGAGGGAGATAACTTTGGGAGAGACCTACGGGGTTCCTGTCAAGTAAAACAGTAAGCTGAGACATTTCCTAAAAGTATTAGTACATGTTACTTTGTTTTCAGAATTTTGATATATATAATCTAACCTGCAGTTACCCCAAAATAAGTAGAGCCAACTGTGGAGTACTTAAAACATAGAGTTTGGAATACCTCTTTTGCAGACAGCAGCCCACACAACAAAAATAATGTGCCAGGTCTGGGAAGGTGACTAATAATCAGAACTCCTAGGACTGGGCTCTATATTCATATAGAATAACTGTTGTGTGTTTAGATCTACAAAATAACTAAAATTTAGGAAGTTACTCTGAGCATCCCTAATCCAAAAATCCAAAATCCAAAGTGCTCCAAAATCCTAAATCTTTTGAGTGCCAACATGATGTTCGAATGGAAATGCTCAATGGAACATTATGGATGATGTTTGAAAGGAAATGCTCGATACAACATTTTGGATTTTAGATTTTTGTATTAGCGATACTAATATTCAACAGTATAATGCATATTTAAATTTTCAGATTTACCAAAATCTGAAAAAATCCGAAATCTGGACATTCTTTTGGTCCCAAGCATTTCAGATAAGGAATACTCGACCTGTGTAATACACACGGATCAGAGACCTTGTGTCTTATTGATTTCTCAGCACAATTCTCAAAGTTAGAGACTATATCTTGTTATATTTTTTAAGCCCCCACTGTATCCAGCAAAAATCTGGATGCACTGTAAGCACTCAACGCTCACTGAATGCATTTTTTGATTAGATTTTTTTTAAGTTCATCACAATTCCAGACTGTAGTGCCTAACTCAGATTCCTTTACATTTCCCTAGCAAAAATGTGCACAAAAACACTGGAGGAGAGAGGTCCAAGTGATATGTGCAGGAAATATAAAATACAGACATGTCCCAGGTTAAAACTCAATTAATGCAAATTGTTCTGTAAACCCTAGAAAATGCAGATCAGTGACAGTCATAATTTAGAAACACAAAATATAATGCACAGGCAAAATATAGAGGACATCACGTAAAGTTCCATGATGCTACTAAAAAGTTTAAACCAGTGATGGGTTATTCAAAATATTTAAGTTTCATTTTTAAAAAACAACAAAGTGAATGCTGTATGAAAACAGGAGAAGTGATCAAATGTACACACAAGATAGTCACAAAGCACAAGAAATCTTTACTGTGAATAAAAGTGAATTACTTATGAAGAAAAGCCAGCTGGGAGATAGATATATCTCGAAAGAAAGTCAAAATTTAAGGTTCTGAAAGACAGCCTGATGTTTTTGCTTGGGCCTGATACAGTGTATGATTGCATTTCTGCACAAATATAACACCAGTGTTTTAAACCCAAGTGTCGTTACAATATTTTCCAAAATAAAATAACTCAGAAATAGTGAAAGAGTACCTTACCATTCAATTATTCAACATTATCTGGGAAAATTCTCCTTTTGCAATATTCTGCGTAGGCTATACTGATAAAATATTCACTACCAGTAAGTGTTTTAACCTTGAAAATTAATGGACACGAACCAATAGGAAGCAGATAAGGAAAGAACATACATCCGTCCTCAAAACTGGTAATTCCCCCATTAAAGATTTGTACTCCCAGCCCACCATCACCCTTTCCTCTATTCCATATCCCTCTTACAAGTACCATGCAAGAGGGGGTTGGAGGAATTTTTAACCACCCCAATAATTTCAATCAGCCTCTCTAATAGACACTCCCAAAATACACAACCAAATAAAGCAAAGCACTTGTTATTGCAAAAGAGGACTCAAGACGAGAAACTTGGGAGCATCATTTCAATTAAGCTGCTGCCCTTTCTCCCTTCCTCTATATGGCAATCATTGAGCTGTCACCTATATCATGTTTTCTTGGAGTATAGCAACAATGGTTAAAAGCATGAATTTAGAGTCAAGCTATACAAATATTTCTAAATTTTGACAAGTACCAAAACACAAAAAAGATAAGGAAGCATTGGTTTAATGAAATGGAAATATCAAAAACATACATAGTTGGTAGAATTTTAAATTAGTAAAACCAATCTGGAAGTCCACTTGGTTAAAAGTATTCAAAACTCCAAAAATATGCATGTAATTTGACTCAAAAATTCAATTATGAATTGAATTTATTCAATTTCTTCTGGAAAAAAATAGGTTAAATATGCAACATGTGCATGCAGGAATGTTCTCTACAGTAATGTTCATAATAGCAAAATGCTGCAAAAATCTTAAATACCCAATAGCATAGGACTAGTCGGTTAATTATGTTACAGTGACACTATGAAATACTATGCAAACATTAAAAAGAATGATGAACAGCCACAATTAAGTGAAAAATGCAGATTACAGAACAGAAGGTATAAAACAATCTCACTTGTACATTTTTTAAATTTAATCACATAATTATAGAAGATAATCTGGAATAATATACCTTAAAAATGTGAAATAATTATTATCTGAGTGATGGGATTAAAGGTAATTAATATTTTCTTTGTAAATTTTTCATCTCATTTCATTACATTAAGCATCATTACTTTTACAATCTGAAAAGAAAAGCTTTTCATATTCTGAGTTTAAAAAAGTAGTAAGTCTACACAAAGCACAGAGACACCAAGAGTTAATTATGTTAAGTCCGCATAACACATGTATGCATATACCTACATACCTAAACTCACTTCTATAAGTACACATCTTAAGTTTTGACTTTTTTTTTTTTTTTTTTTTTGAGACGGAGTCTTGCTCTGTCACCCAGGCTGGAGTGCAGTGGCCGGATCTCAGCTTACTGCAAGTTCCGCCTCCCGGGTTTACGCCATTCTCCTGCCTCAACCTCCCGAGTTGCTGGGACTACAGGTGCCCGCCACCTCACCCGGCTAGTTTTTTTTGTATTTTTTTAGTAGAGACGGGGTTTCACTGTGTTAGCCAGGATGGTCTCGATCTCCTGACCTCGTGATCCGCCCATCTCGGCCTCCCAAAGTGCTGGGATTACAGGCTTGAGCCACCGCACCCGGCCAAGTTTTGACTTTTGAAAATTAGCACTTCTTAAAAAATTATAATTTAAACTTTTCTTAGCATTTCTAAGGCATTAAGAGACATCTGTGTCATCCTGACACAACCAATACTGCTCCAATGCCATTATACAATCCATTTTTGGTTTGCTTTGTAATAGGTGAATGTTTAGTGCTATGCTGTGCCTTGCTTTTTGAGTTATTGCCAAAAAAGAAAAAAGAAAAAACTAAGCCACCTCTATAATATACTGCCTGAAGTTTATAAGGAAAACTACAGCAGAATGCAACTACTTTAACAGCTTTAGAAAAGACTAATTATCAGTGAAGGCCCCAGAAGTGAGGGGGAAACATCAAATATGTTATTCAGACAGTCAGATAAGTCTGACTCTTCTCTCCTTCCAAGCATCTCCACCAAAACACTACATGGGAAGATGAACCATAACACACAGTAAAATAAGAGAACAACTTTAAAAGTCATTTAAATTATCTAAGTATTCATAATAACTTAATACTGAGCGAAATATAAACTCCATATTAAAGATACGGCATTTAGACTTTATTAACTCAGCTTAGAGTTATAGATGAGCTATGGTGTGCTGAACCCATCTATAAAAAATAATTAAAGAGATTCAAGAATTCATAAAACTTGATTACTGGTCAGAGAAAGAAAAAAGTACTTACCACTAAGTCCCAATTATTTTGTTCAAGCAATGTAATAGCTTCATCAATGTTTTCAATGCCAGTACATGCCTAGAAAGAAAGTAAATAAGCATTTTACATATAATTTTAGAAATGGGGAGGTAAATCAGACTTAAAAATGTAAATAGCATAATATGTAATTTAAATTCAAATAGGTATATAAATAAAGCCAAAACACTAAAAGTTTAACACTTCTAAGCATTTTACATATATGGTATGAACATCGTTAATTACAAAATAAATTTACATTGCTCTGAAAGAAAAAGACAATAAAGCAGCAAAAGAAAGTATATTTAAATCTTGAGGTTTGATACCCAGGATGATCTCCAATTACCAAGAACAATTTTTAGTCAAAGATTCTGATGGACAACCACACGTATAACAAATGAATTTCAACCCATACCTTGCACTTTCTATAAAAACTAACTCAAAATATGTAACAGACCTAAAGTAAAATCTAAAACTATAAAACTTCTAGATCTGTGCTGTCTGATAGCCACTACCAGTTGCTCTCTGGTAGCTGCTAGACACATGTGGCTAGTGAGTCCTTGAAATGTGGCTCAACTGAGTTAAGATGTGCTATAAGTACAAAATACACACCAGGTAAGACTTAGCACCAAAATTAAAAATGTAAGCTATCTCATTAATAATTTTTCCTTTGAATACATGTTGAAATGGAAATTTTTGACATATTGGCTTAAATAAAAATGTTAAAATTAATTTCACACATTCCTTTTTACCCTTTTAACATAAACACTAAAAAAAATTAACTACATATATGAAATTATACTTCTGGTGCGGTTCTTGAAAAAAATATACGAGGACATACTTGTGACCAGACTAAGCAAATATTAACTAGCAGGATGCCATTTTTAAGCTGGGCACATTAATAAAGTCCGCCATTCTCTGGTGACCCGGCTCGTGGCAGTGTAGGCATTTTATTCTCAGGCCACCAAACCAATCCAACAGCACATCAAAAAGTTAATTAACCACAATTAAGTATATTTCATTCTTGGGATACAAGGTGGGTTTGACATATAATTCACCACATAAACATAATTAAAAGCAAAAACCATACAATCATCTCAATAGATGCAGAAAAAGCTTTCAATAAAACCCAACATCCCTTTACAATGAAAACCCTCAAGAAAGTAGACATCAAAGGAACATATCACAAAATAGTAAGAGCCTAACTCACAACTAACATATTGAATGGACAAAAACTGGAAGCATTCCTCTTGAGAAATGAAACAAGGCAAGGATGTAAACTCTCACCACTTCTATTCAACGTAGTACTAGAAGTGTTGGCCAGAGCAATCAACCAAGGGAAAGAAATAAAAGGCATCTAAATAGGAAAAGAAGAAGTCAAATATCTCTCTTCACAAATAATATGATTCTATATCTAGAAAACCCTGGAGACTGCAGAAAGGATCCTGGAACTGATAAACAACTTCAGTAAAGTTTCAAGACACAAAAATTGATGTACAAAAATCAGTAGCATTTCTACACACCAATAACATTCCAGCTGAAAGCCAAATCAAGAACACAATCCCATTTACAATAGCCACAAAGAAAACGAAATACCTAGGAATATGGTTAACCAAAGAGATGAAAGATCTCTACAAGGAGAACTACAAAACACTGCTGAAAGAAATCAGAGACAACACAAATAAAAAACATTCCATGCTCACAGGTTAGAAGAATCAATATCATTAAAATGGCCACATTGCCCAATGTAATCCAGAGATTCAATGTTATTCCTATCAAACTACCAATGTTATTTGTCACAAAACTAGAAAAAAACTATTCTAAAATTCATACGGAACCAAAAAAGAGCCCGATAGTCAAAGTAATCCTAAGCAAAAAGAAAGGTGGAGGCATCACATTACCCAACTTCAAACTATACTGTAAGGATACAATAATCAAAACAGCATGGAATCTACACAAAAACAGACATACACACTCAGGGAACAGAACAGAGAACCCAGAAATAAAGCTGCTTGCACAACTACAGCCATTTGATCTTCAACAAAGTCTACAAAAATAAGCAATGGGGAAAGTACTGCCTATTGAATAAACAAACAGTGCTGGAATAGCTGGTTACCCATGTGCAGAAGAATGACATTAGATCCCTAGTTTTCACCATATAAAAAAATAACTCAGGATGGATTAAAGATTTAAATATAAGACCTCAAACTATAAGAATCTAGAAGAAAACCTAAGAAATGCCATTCTGGACATCAATCTTGGCAAAGAATTTACTACTAAGTTCTCAAAATCCACTGTAACAAAAACCAAAATTGACAAGTTAGATCTAATTAAACTAAAGAGCTTATGCACAGCAAAAGAAACTATCAACAGGGTAAACAGACAACCTACAGAATGGGAAAAAATATTCACAAACTACACATCTGACAAAGATGTAATATCCAGAATCTATAAGCAACTTAAACAAATCAACAAGGAAAAAACAAGTAACCCCATTAAAAAATGGGCAAAGGACAGGAATAGACACTTCTCAAAAGAAGATGTACACATGGCCAGCAAACATGAAAAAATGTTCCACATCAACAATCACAGAGAAATGCAAATCAAAACTACAATGACATACCATCTCACACAAGTCAAAGTGACTATTAATAAAATATATATTTTTAAAAACAGGTGCTGGTGAGGCTGCAGATATAAAGCGAATATTTATACACTGTCAGTAGGAATACAACTTAGTTCAGTCACTACAAAAGCAGTTTGTAAATTTCTCAAACAACTTAAAATAGCATTTAAATCAGCAATCCCTGTGTATGTATTAAAAAAAAATCATTGTACCAAAAAGATAAATGCACTCACATGTTAATTGCAGCACTATTCACAATAGCAAAGACATGGAATCAACCCATGTGCCCATCAACAGTGAACTGGATAAAGAAAATGTGGCATGTATACACTGTGGAATACTATGCAGCCATCAAGAGAACTACATTATGTCCTTTGCAGCAACATGGATTAAGCTGGAAGCCACAATCCTAAGCAAATTAATGCAGAAAGAAAAAAAACCACACACCACATTTTCTCACTTACAAGTGAGAGCTAAACATCAGGTACTCATGGACGGCAACATGGTGCAATAAAACTGCACTACTAGAATGGGGAGAGAGGCAAGGGTTGACTATTCGGTACTATGTTGAGTACCTGAGTGACAAGATCATTTCATACCTCAAGCATGACACAATATACCCAGGTAATAAACTTCTATCTGTATCCCCTGAATCTGAAACAAAAGTTGAAAAACAGAACACTAGTAGACCACAGATTAAAAACAAGAGACTACTATGGATTGAATATCTGTATCCTCCTATGGTGACATCCTAAAATCCACTATGATGGTATTTGGAGATGAGGTCTTTGAGAGGTAATTAGGATTAGATGAGGTTATAAAGGTAGAACCTTCATGATAGGATTAGTGCCCTTACATTATGTCCATGTAACTCAACTGCACTTGTACTCCTAAGTTCATAAAAATAAAAAGTTATTTAATAAAAAGATGAATGCCCTTGTAAGAAGAGATACCAAAGAACTTGTTTCAAGCTTGAAAGACTAGAAAGGAAAACTAAATAATTAAAAAAAAAAAAAAATTGCCGTCTCCCTCACCACCCCATCAGGTGAGAACACAGCAAGACAGCAGCCATCTGCAAGTCAGGAAGACAGCCCTCACCAGAAACTGACCGTGCTGGTACCCTTATGACACACAATTAGCTTTCAGAACTACAAGAAGATAAATGTCTTTTGTTGAAGCCAAACCAGACTACTGTATTTTGTTACCATGGACAAATAGACTAAGACAGAAACCACCTGTAACAAAGAAAACAAAGTTACGAAAATAGTTTAGAAGTCATTAAACAAACAACTGCAACCGACAGAAAGCAACAACAACAACAAAAAAAAAACATGAGAATGAGAACCAATCTAACCTCCAGAGATATCATACTGTATGTTTTAAATGTCCATTTAAATATATGTAAAGTGTGCAGAGAAGCAACAAAGTATGTGGCCCATTCAAGAGAGAAATTAACAGAAGCTGTACAGAGGAAAAACAGACATCAGACTCAGTAGACAAAGTCTATCAATCATCATCTTAAACATGCTCATAGAGTAAAAATATCATGAACAAAAAGCTACAAAACCAGAGGAACAAAGTGTCAAAAACAGAGAATGTTGGATAGAATGATGGTAACTAGCAACTGGCAAGGGCAGTGGGCAGAGGAGAATAAAGATGGGATAGTTAATGGGTACAAAACCACAGTCAGATAGAGGAATAAGAACTAGTATTTGTTAGCACAATAGAGTAACTGCACCTCACATCTCAATACTAACAATGAACTAAACGGCCTAAATGCTCCACTTAAAAGATACAGAATGGCAGAATGGGTAAGTTTCACCAACCAAGTATCTGCTGTCTTCAAGAGACTCACCTAACACATAAAGACTCACATAAACTTAAGGTGAAGGGGAAAGACATTCCAGGCAAAAGGACACAAAAAGCAAGCAAGAGTAGCTATTCTTATATCAGAAAAAAACAAACTTTAAAGCACCAACAGTTTAAAAAGACAAACAGGGACATTATATAATGATAAAGAGACTAGTACAACAGGAAAATATTACAGTGCTAAATATATATAACAAACACTGGAGCTCCCATTTATAAAAGTTCTAGGAAATGAGATGGATGGCAACACAACAATGGCGGGAGACTTCAATATTTCACTGACAGCACTAGACAGAAAGTCAACAAAGAAACAATGGACTTAAACTATACCCTAGAACAAATGGACTTACGGACATTTACAGAACATTCTACCCAACAACTGCAGAACAGACATTCTATTCATCAGTACATGGAACATTCTCCAAGATAGACCATATGGTAGGCCATAAAATGAGTTTCAATCAGTTTAAGAAAATCAAAATTATATCAAGTATTCTGTCCGACCACAGTGGAATAAAATTGGAAATCGACTCCAAAAGAAACCCTCAAAACCACGCAAATACATGGA